GTTAATTGAAAAGTACCGTCAAATTTAACTTTTTTGTTTTCTATTTGTGTCTACTATTATTAAATAATGTAAGATACGTTTCTACAAGTAATGAGAATGTCAACCCATCCAAGTTCAAATTTTTCGGGAATAATTTTGGTAGCATATAAAAAGATAGTTAATGGTAATATGGTTTGATTTAAAAATTGGTAAATTTTTAATTTTTTTTAAACCCTATTTTGAAGATACTATCTCAGTCGTAATAAATGCTTTGAAAATTCAATTTTTTTTTTTTGAAAGAAAAAGAATTTCTTTCTTAAAACCCTTACCTGGAATATCGTTTTTATAAACTCTTTTATAACCTGTTGTAATGGAACGGAAAATTAAATCATTTTATTATTATAAATTGTTTTATATATTGTCGCTGTGGTTTTTATTTTTTTATTTTATTTTATTTTTTTTTTTTTTTTTTCTTCTAACACATAAATTGAGCTGAGGCTAAGCAACGGCGAAATGAAAGTTTTAGTTAAGCAAAGTTTTACTCAGCACCAAATACGAAAGGATTATCGTTTTATACCCACCGCATAAAAAATTAATTAACAAATTAATTTCTTCTTCGATCACCGATCAAATCGCATTTTACTATCGCAAATATTATCTCCCCTAAAAGGAGCTAAGACCTATTGAGCATGTGTTAGCAAACTTGCAGAAAACTACGAAGAAAAAAAATTCTGCTTCAGATGTTGTGACATGTAAACGTCGGCTTATATCGAGTATTGGCGCAGTATGGCGGACACTATCTCTCTAATGTCACATACACTCATATTTATTGCAGATACAATCCCCCAACAGTTAAGTCCTATCACTGAATATCGTAAATGATCGCGATAGCATTCATTTCGCTTAAAGTGACGTATGTCCATATGTCCTTTAAGACGGACGGATTTATTCTTTTTATGAAATATTTGAGTTGAACGGAACACTTAGTAAATCAGGTAAGGAAAGGTTAGTTTGCGAGGCAACACTTTCAAAACGTTTGCGAGTCATATGCGCCTGAAGTGGTGGGTGATATCCAAGAATGTTGTTTTTACTATTATTACTATTAATATAATTGTTGTCGTTATTATTATTATTATTATTATTACTATTATTACTGTTATTATTATCGGTATTATTGTTATTGTTGTCGTTGTTATTTTTGCTGTTGTTCTTGCTCATAATATAATGTATTATTATTATTATTGTTATTATTAATAATATTATTAGCACTATTGTTATTATCATTATTATTTATTTTTAATATTATTTCGCGTTCAAGTTTTTTGTTTTTTATGGCGCATTATTAATATTTGAAATTTTGTTGCATTTTAAAACTTACCGATTTAGGCGAAACTCTATAATTTTTATTTATATATATGTATATATATATGTATATATATATATATATATATATATATATATATATATATGTATATATATTTTTTTTTTTTTTTTTTGTTTTTTGCTCTTAATGCATTTATATACAAAATTTACCAATTTTTAATTTTTTTTAACTAAAAAAAACTAATATTTGGAAAACAACCCTGATGTTTGTGCAAAGGCCATGCTGAGAGAACAATAATAAATCTACTTCTTATAATAGTTATTCTTTTTTTTTCTCTTACTTTCTCTGCATAGCATTTTTAAGTAAACGTGAAAGGCATAAACATGAATTTGGAAGATAAGTTCATTCAAGTTAAAAGTCATTCCGCGTGAAATTATAACTGAACATAAGTCATACGCTTTTGCAACGCACACGTACGTATAAGTGTATATATGTATATATACGTACGCATATACGTACGTATGTATATATATGGACATATATAGCCCGTAGCAAAAAAAAAAATATTGAGCCGAAAGTAAAAGATGAGGATCAAGCAAAAAAATTCTCATTAATTTGAAGCAAAATCGAAAAGAAAATTTAAGAAAAAAATTAAATGCTTTTACTTTTCTTTTTCTTAGGTTTTGATCTACATATGTAGATGTTTTCAATATTCTCTTACAAAAAAAAAAAAAAAAAAAAAAAAATTATTATTTTTACATAAATATAATTGATTTGCTGATTACTTACATTTACGTTAGTTAGCTGATGATTGATATGAACGGTAAATTGCCTGGCGGTGTGATTCGAAGTTATGTAGTGGTTGTAGGTGTAATGGTACTGAACTGGCAATACAATTTGCTAGCAGAGTTGAGGTTAGATCGGTAGTGGTGGTAGTGATTGATGGTAGTTGTGGTAGTTGTGGTTGTGATTTTAATTGTGGTTGTAGTAGTGGTAGTATTGGTAGTGGTGGTTATATTTTTAATTTATTTATTGGTATGATTTTTGCCGGTCAGTGATTTCAATTTCGGAAGAAAGTTTTGATTTTTTTTGGGAGGTAACATATATGGTGGTTCGTGATTGAGAATTGGATGTCCATTGAGTATAAAAGGAAATGTTTGG